GTAGAGAGAGAGCAGTAGAACACAAACTTTGAAAGGAAGGACAGAATCTGAATAATTCTGCCGCCGCCACTTCTATTAATATTTATAGGTTATGCTAGTTACATGAAAGGACACATCTGCCCTTGGTATTTACATAACACACAATAATATAAAACTGAAAAATAAATAACAACTGGAATAACAGTAGCTAACCCTAGGATGACTAGGAACATTCTGCCCTACAGACAGAGTGGGACCACAGCTGTGGGGCCCACATCAGTGTTCTCTACAAAAACCAAGAACTAAAATTGCACAGGTAAACACAAGAAACAAGATCCTATTAAGACAACAACTTCAAACATCAAAATGACAAAAAACAAGATCCAAATAAGACAATCTCCAAGTCAAAACAAGTTGATGAACAAGAAAAATGTACCTTCAAATCTGCAGTTTAAACCCAAAAAAAAAAATTATATTTCAGTGACCAATGTGAGGTAGAAACTCACTTTATCTTACACTGAAACAACACTCACCAATGACGGACGATTCGAAGAAGCAAATAGATTCATTCTACATGATGGAACCAGATGTGAATCAATAAACCAAGACAAAAAGTATCTTCAGTTGCTACCGTTAGGAGCAGTGAGGACTTCACACTGCCTCAGTTAGAAAACATCAGAGATCACTATGCCTTCCAACTATGATTTAGTTGTCAAAGGGGAGAAGATGACAATGGTGATGTGGACCAGTGGTGCAAGTTACTCTGGTTCAGCATTCAACAGAGTTCGTTGCAGGAAAAAGGGAAGTGAGAAGAAAACAATGAAGAAACAAAAGAAAAAGAAGAGAAATGGAGAGGAGAAAAGAAAAAGAAAGTAAGAGGATCGGCTGACAGACTGAAGCCCATCACTTTCCCTTTTTGTAACCAGGTGAATGAGTGCTTAGATCACTTCTTCATCCCCCAACAGTGCATGCAATCTGATTTCACTTTTTCAAATATGCAAACCTGTCATGGGTATGTCCAGAAAACATGAGGAAATTGCTGGCTGGTAGGTACCTACAAGGTCAAAGTGCTGATGGAAAATTAGTCTGGAGCTTGATTCCTACAGTTGTGGTGTGGATAGTCTGGCTGGAGAGAAATAAAGAGTTTTTCACAGACTGAGGTTTGATCAATGCTGCTGTTGGGAGATTAAGCTCTTGGGTGGCAGCTGCCAGGGGTCCTTCCCAGCAGCCCGGTTCTAATGTTTCCCTTTCTATTTCTTTGTGGTGTGTGCGAAGCTTGTAATCTTGAGGGCATAGGTTCAGCTTTTTTAATTTCCCCCTCTTTCTGTATTTATTTGGCTGCTTTACTCTAATAAAATTACCTTACCTTTTCAAAAAAAAACATTTTTATAAAAAAATAGCCAGATAAAAAAAATGCATCCTGATCACTCAAAACCTCTTTGACAAGTGGCATGCAAAAACCAAGATGGAAAGAATAGATGCAAGAAGCCAAGAACAATTAAAATAAATCTTCACTGCCATCCAAGCACTAGCCCAATATCAAATAGTCAAAATCATCAACTCCGATTTCTTAAGTAATGTGATGTCTTGGAAGAGTAAGGTTTAGCTGAACACAATGGCTGTTCAGCAAGTAAGTAATAAAATACATGGGACTCACACCTTTCACAGTGGGGCCCATGAATTTATTACTGGTGTGGAATCATCATTGGTTCCACAGCCCGCTGAACAGCCATCGCATTCAGCTAAACCGAATACATCTTGGAATTAGTCTACCAATTAGAATACAAAACAACATAAAAGGGGCAACAAACCTAGGTCAATCACATGTCATAGCTAAGATAATGTACAGATAACCAGCTCAACATAATATGTACCTCCCATCTGGATTGTTAGGAGAAGTTAGGAATATGCATTTTGGTTTTTCCTGTTCAACAACTTCCACAATGTGTTCTATATTCAAGCTGAAATCTTGTTGCCTTGGCACTGCATATTAAGATCACTACAATGGATAAGGAAGATGAAACTAGATATAAAGGGAAAAGCAAGACAAAAAAACACAAACCATAGAAGTTAAAGGAAAAGATAGTTGATGATATATCTCTGTACACACATTCAAGAAAATGTAAAAACATTTGATACTTAAAATGAGTAACATAAGAAGATTCCTTTTTACCCTTGATGACAAGCGCACCATTAACTGCTGCATCAAATTCATACATTGTAAATGTTGGAGGACAATCAACAATCTTGTCACCAGGATCAAGTACACATCTGCAGTTATATATCAAATAAACACAGTAGGAAATTGCTATAGTTAGAACATTCAGTCTAAGAATGATAAGATTTAAAATAATCACAACATCCCCAAATTCTAACCGCATGATTAAATCAATGAGCTCATCTGCGCCACATCCTGCAAGGATATAGTCAGACTCAAGGCCTGAATCTTCGGCAAGGGCAGCACGTAAGCGACGGCTTTCAGGATCAGGATAAACATAAGGAAATTTCATTGATGCCAAAGCTTCAAGCACCTGGAAAAAAATATGAAACTTGCACTCAGGATAAAATTCCATATAAAATAGTCATGGCAGAAGATGCAAACATATATGCAGGCTGTAATAGTAAAACTGAGATCATAAAATCTTCAGAATAAAAAACATAGAAACGTCACTTTTCTTAAGAACATATATGAAAATAAAATGATTGATTTCCATAAGTATCTAAACTTCCCTTGCCACTCAGACAACAAAACAAACATGTAAAACTTGCCTCTGGAGGTGGACCATAAGGGTTTTCATTTGCATCCATTTTGACAATTTCCTCAGGCTTCCTTCCTAGGTGAGCCGACAAAACCTGTAATTAGAAAGGATTTCTGTAAAATTGAACAAAAACAATTTAGTAAATTCTTTATGATCCATTCAAGCTACCAGTTGAAGAGCCATTAAATGACCCCTTGTCCAAGTTTGATTGATAACAGGAACTGATAAGCAGCAGAAAACATCAAAAATAACAGGAATTATTCAAACCTATCAGACTAAAGATGACAGGACATAATGGAAGGTTTTCAGGTGTCAATTGGTTCAGTTGGTAAGGCCTGGGGAGTCAAACCCCAAACCTAGGATCAAATTCCAGTATCCCACCTCCATTTACTAACCCCTAACCAAAAAAGAAGCAGTCATGCCCAATATATTTCCGTTGCAATTTCCTGATATTTCGATTTCATGTGGTGCATCACACAATAATGTCCCAGTTAAAAATAATCATACAAAATTGTTATATCTAAGATGTCAACTGATAAGGTCTGAAGCAGTTGCAAGCATAAGAATCAAGCTCCCAAAAGAAGTAATGGCAGTGTAGATGGCAAGTTTTCAATATGTATGATTTAGGTCAGCCTCTTGAGAAGAGGTGTAATATATGATATCCATTTGGGATTCAATCATTGAATATTATAAGTAGTGGATGGCATCGTTTATAGTACGCTTTCATTCATTTCTAGTGCTTTTTTGGGTAAAACTCATTTATAGCGCTTGAGTTACCTCAAAGGGTAGAATAGGCTGATAAGGAGACAATTTCCTCAGATGAGGACGGATGAAATCATCCCCGGCCAACCGTTGCTGGCTAGGCTTATGTTTTACAGGTATACTCGAGCCCGTACTGCAGACGAACATCCGATTTTCTTCAAATGATGCAATGGAACGGTGCCTCTGGTGGGTTTTGAACACACAATGAGATGATAAGCTATACAAATCAATCACACCCATCAAACCTGCATATTGTAAACCTAAAAATAAAGAACAGCTCTTATTCATGTAGCAAAATATGATCAATTTCAAGTGCTTCTGAAAGTGTTTTTAAAGTGAAATTTCCAATAAAAGAAGTAAAGGAAAGTTCAAGGTTTTAGGGGCATACTTGATGTCAAAGAAAACAGAATAGTCAGACAGCTACAGGCTCATCACTGACAAACACTAAACCCTATACACACTATGGTGGCGTTTGCTGGTCGCCACTGTTTTGACTGTGTCAGCGATGAATAATACCTTGTTAAGCCGGAAGTCACCGAAGAATGAATGAGAAGAGGTTGCAGAGAGTGGTGTCTTGACGCTCAAAACTGTAATCGGATCGGATGCAGCTAAATCCGCGTTCGACACGACATGAAGGACCTGATGCTAGTATCATCCGTATGCGATCCGAAGACCCATCAGATGTGTTGCTGTATTGATTGTAGATATGCCTCTTGATGGGCCGGGTAGTCCGGTGGACTGATCCGAATCGACCCGTTCTATGTCGGGTTTATGCAGTCTTTTAAGTCCACGGCTTATGCTCAAAAACATTGGGCTGCTAGGCTTCTAAACATATCGAATTCCAATCAAATCAGGCTAGATTCGAATTTGAAATCGATTATGAACACTAATATTCGAATTTGATTCGATATCCGATAGATATCAAATCTTTGAGTTCGAATTCAATTCTGATTATTAAATCGAATATTTGATTCGATTCGAATTCAACCGATGGCAGTGGTGGCCGGTGAGCAGTGATGGTAGTGCGGCAACGGCGAATAAGAGATAGAGAAGATGATGGTTGTTGTCAATGATGGTGGTTGCCATCGAGACCACTATCATTAACGATGGCAATGTGGCGAAGGAGAGATAGAGAAGATAATGGTTGTTGTCGGTGATGGTGGTTGCTCAAGCGATTGCGGTAATGAATCAAGATCTGAAAGAGAAGAGATAGAGGAGAAGATGATTAGATGAGATACGGGAGAGAATTGGGGAGAGGTAGAGGATGAGGGGCGGTGACCGGTGGTTGGTACTCGACCGTCGAGTTGCTGGTGTGGTTGCTCGAGCAGCGACGATGAAGGGAGGATTAGGGTTAGGGTTTGCAAGGAGATGGAAGGGAGAAGAAAACATGGGCTGAGAAGAAAACGTTGAGTGATTTAGGATTTATGGCTGGCTGACTAGGGGTTTGAGGAACAAATTTCCTCATTTACCCTAAGAGATTTTATTTTATTTATCAATAAAATAAAATATTAATAAAATTGGGGTGCAACACGAGGACTCCCCGGGAGGTCACCCATCCTAGTACTACTCTCACCCAAGCACCCTAAGAGATTTTATTTATTACATTAATGCACAAAAATATTATACATACATACATACATATATACATACATATATACATACATATATACATACATGCATACATACATACATACATACATACATACATACATACATACATACATACATACATACATACATACATACATACATACATACATACATACATACATATATATAATTCGGATATTTATTGGATCGAATCAATGCATATCTGAATTCGATCCAATAATTTAATCGGTAAGAAATTAATATTCGAATTTGACCGAATATCCGATTCAAATTATCCAAATTTGATTCAATTGTGTCGAATCTCGGATTCGAATTTGGATTTTCAAATACCATTTACAGGCCTAGGCTCAGCTATTTTTTGGGTCGAGCCTCGACTTTCTTAAAAAAATATGATCCAAGCCCAAGTCCGACTTGATAATAATATATATAATAAAAAATATAATATATATTATATTATGTAATAATTACATTTATAATTAAAAGTGTATTATATAATATTCTATATATTATTAATATATATTAACCCCCGAAACCCAACTTAAGTGGTGTATCATTGAGTTCAGTCGATAAGTTGCAAATTTTATATCCTTGTATAGTTGTCTAAGAGTAGATCCCTTACAAACTATTTGTATCCCACCCACAAATAATTCTAAGTGATATGAGATTATAAAGAGTTCACAATCGAGCTCATAACCGGATAACTCCCATGCATCCACTTCTCTTCTTGTATGTAGAGTTATCTTCCTTTTGGTTTCTTTTTGCTGAATGTAATATAACCCCATTTGTCTATGCCGCAAATATGAATCCTCATAAGGTGTATTCAAGCTAAATAATTTATTCTGTCCACCTTCATTGTATTTATAACATCCAAAAGTTGGGTTGTTTATAGCCCCTCCCAACTAAATTCAAATTCAAATGTTTGCTTGTTTTCCATTCCATGTAGGTTGCAGCTTGGGTAGGCCTAACCTGAATTTCAATTTGTCCAATCCGAAATTTTATACAGGTTGGGTTTGGATTTTTACTCCTCGGGCTGACCTCGGTCCTAGTCCTTATATGATTCGAGTTTGGCCCAACTATATATATATAGTTGCATAAATGCATATATACATATATGTGCAATTTTAGAGTGGATTTATTGACTAACCCAGTCCTGACCTAGGCCCAAGCCCAACTTGAAGGCATCAAATTACAATGTGGGTTAGGCTCAAGTTGAAAAGATTGGGCTTGACCTCAGGCTTAGTTCAAACTTAGGGTTGGGATTGGATTGACCATAAACAACGCAACCTAACCCGTTTGACTTGCACCCCTAAGTCCAAAGTGTTTCAATCCATTAAAATAACCGGTTCCAAGTGTTTTTTTTTTTAAGTGAAATAAGAATATCAGCATCGAAGGTAAACTCATGCTCACACCATTCGAACTATGGTTTTCAAAATTGGACCTGACCGGACAGTCAGACCGCAAAAATGGTAACCAGTCAGCCCCCCGGTCCGGTTTTACTAAAAGTTGGAAATTTCTAAAAACAGTTGAAAAAGTCAAAAAACCGCTGGCCCAGGTGGTTGGACTGCTAAGTCATTCGACCTGGGCAATGGTTTGCGGGTTACTCTTTTTATTTTCAATGTTTTAAATTAAAAAAACAAAAAAATAAAATAGAATACCTTATCCCAAACCAGTCGAATGTTTAGTCCCTATAGCTTTAGGGTTTCCCGAGTTCCCTGCGACGACTAGCACCTTTAGCGTCCGCCCAACGGCGAGCTTGCAGGCAGTAGTAAGAGTTGGCGGGCCTTGTGCGGCTAGCACTTGCAGCAGCGGATGGCTAGCTTGCCTGCGACCAAGTTTGCAGTGGCAGCCAGCGAGTTTGCAGTGGCGATTTTGCAGCGGTGGGTGAGGGTTTCTAGCGGCAATAACAATTGCAACCACTTGCAGCGGCAATCAACAGGGATCTTGGGTCCTCTAAGCAGCATTCTAGAGATGTATATGGAAGAGTTCGACAACACCATGCTCACCAATGTGTGAGGGGTGGCATCGACGATTAAGCACGCAGATCAGGCTATGGTGGAGAGAAAGATATGTGGCTCGATCGTCTGCACTGAAACTGTGGCAACGACCTTGGGTGGCTAAGGTCCTCGTACATACACCACTTCTAAGCACGCATTGGTGGAGCTGGTCCGATCAGCCTATAGTGAGCTGGGGGCTCATGGCATCAGGGTCAACTGCATCTCCCCTTTCGGAGTCGCTACCCCATTGGCCTGCAACTTGAAGGGCATTGTGTTAAAGCCCGGCCATATGGCAGAGGCTGCTCTGTTTCTTGCTTCAGACGAAGTAGATGGAGGATTCACAGTGGTTAGTTATAACTACTCCACCATCCAATGAGAGAGAGAGAGAGAGAGATTTACTGTTGTAGTTTTATGGTTTTATTTTTATGTATTTTTTAAAAATTTTATGTATTTTATTTTTATATTTTTATGTATTTTGCACTGTATTCTTTTTTATTTAGATAGTTTTACTTTTTGTAATTTTTATTTAATTTTATACTATTTTTTATTTATAAATATATTTTTAATTTTTAATTTATTTATAATGTCACGGGTCAAACCATTCGACCTAAACAGTTGAACCGCTTGACCGGAAATCGGTCCCCTAACTGATTCTGTTTCTGATTCATTTTTAAAAACCTTGGTCCGAAGAGCCTATTGCAACCTTGCATAGTAAATATCTCCCCATGAAATAAAGCATATAAGTACGGAGATATTCGGACGGGTATTGGCCTGATCGAAGCCGAACTCAAAGGCACGTTGATTTCCAACGATAACAAAGCCTAGTTCTAGTTGTAGGGTGTCTCACAACATTGCAACCTGGGAAAACAAAGGAGAATAGTAGTCTCTCCTTCCGGGCAATCCAAAAAGTGAAAAATAGTCTACTAAAATAAAGAAAAAAAAATGAGTTGTAACGAAGAAGGGAAGAGGAGGAGGAAAGGTCAAAAGATAAGTGAGAAACGAACTCTCTACAATCCATTTTCGAAAAAAAAAAAAAAAACCTCTCTACAATCCTTCTCTTAAAAAATAATGAAGTTTACAATAATACCCCTTCATAAAAAAGAAGGTAGCTAACGGGCACATTAAGGCCTAGCCCATTAGCACCAAAAAAAAAAAAAATCGTATAATGCTACCCATTAGCACTTGCCCATCTTTTTTACAAAAATCAATTCATTTGCAAAACTATCTCCGAACATGATTCAAGTATGACCTCAAACAATTTAGAAATAAGTTCAATAATCTAAGAAGTATGAACTGTTGCCTAGGTAACCTAACCCAATAGGGATGAATTGGATCCTACAAGTTTCTTCCTCATAAAAATGAATGCAAATTATGATTTGTTTAGAAATTGTATAAATACAAATGTGTATAATATAAATATATGCAACATACAAGGATTTGCACTCTACATATTTGTATTTGTACTCTTTTCAAATTGAGACTCAGGCTGTATTTAATTGCAGTGCAATTTTATTTGCATTAGTACAAATGAATGGGAGTGCAAAATGTAAAAAATGCAAATTCTTATTTAATTTTCTTTTGGATTTTACTTTATTCTGCTCCATGTCTTGATTTACTTCATTTGTATTATAATCAAACAAAATAAACTAAAGTTTCAAACAAAAATTGGTTAGCATTTACATTCAAATCATTTGCACTACTATGATTTTGCATCAGTGCAAATTTATTTGCATTGCAACCAAACACAACCTTAAGAGTAATTGAGGGTGGTAAAGTAGAGTACATTGCACGTAAAGATAATAAGATTGGTTATGGAAAACAATAAGAGTTGTTAAGATCAAAGGTATGAACAATAAAGAGCAAAACGATAAATTTTTAGGGGTTCAGCCAAACCCAGTCTACGTCCTCTCCCTATGAAAACTATCTAAGAAAGTTCACTATACCAACTAGACTTTTTGGATGGCAACAAAACATTTATTTCAGTTGGACTCTCTAGATGCCAATAAGACCATTACAATAATTAGACTTCCCAAGTGCCAACAAGACCTTTTACCAAATAGACTTGTTGTGGGACTTAACATTATGGGCTTCAACCCATTTATGTCGTACTGCCATACCCTAATATAAATATCAACTTTATGGGCATGTTAGAGGGTATTGGCATGCCTCTCTCTCTCTCTCTCTCTCTCTCCTTTTTTTATATTCTTTCTTCATGAATCAGAACTAGGGGTGTGAATTTCCGATCTGAATTCAGCATATTTGGATACCTCCACATCGAACGTTTGAATCGGATCAGATCGCAACATATGATCTCGATCCAATCATATGATATATATATATATATATAAGTGTACCCTATTTTAACATTTGGTTCTAAAATTGATAAGTTGTATTTTTTCTAAGACTGCGTTTTCAAACAATGCAAATGGAGTGTAAATCCCGACTCAGAGCAAATTTGCACTCGGGTTCACTTTTGCTTGTTTTTGGCAACATTATGTTTATTCATTGGCAAATGAAAGAAAACACACTTTCCAATGCATATATACATTGATAATAAGATGTAAAAGTGCATCAATAAAAAAAAAGTAAATTTGCACTCAAGTGGGCTTTTGATAAAAAAAAAGGCATATGCTTTATTGGAATTCATGTTTGCATCCATTACAGCTAAAAGTCTATTTGTATTTAGTAAGAAGGTAAATTTGTCAGTGCAAAACTAACCCAACTTTGCAATTTATATGGACCATTTTACACTCTACATATTTGCACCGTTTCCAAACGCAGCCTAATTAAATAAATATAAAATTGGAAATTCCACATCAAACACGATTGTACAAAACAAACCTTAAAACCCTTATATTCGATGCTTTTATGTTTTGTTTTCGTTCTAAACCTGAGAGCTACTAAGAATTAAGTGAGAAGTGAGCACCCTATCCATTATTGCTATTTGCTGTCACAAGCCGTCGCCATTCAATCTTCACCATTGTGGGTCGCGGCACACTCACATCATTCAATGTCCGTAATCATTCATCCTTCTCCTCCTATTTTTTTCCCATTTTCCCTTTTCATTTCTAATTCCACTAATATCACCTCACACCTCACTTTTTTTTTGGGTTATTCAATCTGGTTCTATCGATAATCACAGTGTTGTTTGTTGCAGCCCTCATTCCCCAAATCCTCTATGCCATTGCCATTTATTCAAGTTGAAGGCTAGGCTAATGGTCGAAGAAAGTGAGAAACAGAGACGTGAGACTATTCAATCAAATTGTATCCGATCTACACTAGATATCCGATAAAATGATCAGAGTCGAATTCGAACAAGGGAATATAGAATCCAACGGATTCGAATTCGAACAATGGGATTTTTCTATCAAATCAAATTCAAATCTACCCGGGTTAGAACAAAAAGACAATACCTACGTGAACCATTCCAACCTTCACAACATGCATTTGCCTTCTCAACCATAAGAGTCAACACCCTTGGATATACTTCATGGATCTTATCCAAACTCTTTTAATGTCCAATCCCTAAACACTTCACAACATGGCTATGATTGGTTTAACTAATAGAGAGTTATCACCCTCTTATAAATACAAAGATACAACAATTAATAAGCAAACAATATTTTGCCTCTACAAGGCTAATAAAGCAACACAATGAAACTACCTTATTAGCAAGAAAATATAATGAAAGCTTTGTGTTTAATACATTCAAGTTCAAGAGTTTTCCCTTATTTTCATCTCATGGAAAGCTCAACAAATCTTTTTTTTTTTTATTTGTTATCATTTTACTCTTATTTTTTATTGTTATGCCCTTTGAATCTATCTTATAATTCTGAAGCCTTTTATCATTTTATATATTTGCATATACCGCAAAGAGGTGGTTAAACAAGGCACCATATTAATTCATTGAAATGGATGGTATGTGGATTTCCTCCATGACCCGTAGGTTGAACAATGGATCTCTCTTTCATCTAATATGTCCTCCTTCACTGATTTGGGCCGAGTGGCAAACTATACCTTGACCCTACCATAAAATAATGTAGATTGGATCACATTCTTCATCACATGCCTACCACAACAAGGCATTTAGTGGAAAAAAAGTTGGCCTTCTCTAGTCAAATTTACATTTGTCCCCCACAGAAAGTGCCCTGAAAATGTTCCACCACATATTCTAAGCATGTATTGGGAATATCTCCCAATGACAAGTATGGGAGATGTTCTCAATGCATGCTAAGATGTGCATGTAGGGCGTTTTTAGGGCGCATTCTATGGGGGCAGATGTGAACTCTCTCAAATCGGTTTTTCAGGCTTCGGATTGTTTGGTCTGGATACACACACCATATTGCCTTTCACCACTTCATCTTGCACAAAAATACTTGTTTAAAATTCACGTAGTGGCTCCACATTGAGATACCTGCACAAACACGAATTGGAAACATTTATGGAAGAACAAACATCTTCCACTCTCGACCAAGATGTTTGTGTGGAAACCTCTGTTTAATATGTTGCCTACAAAAGACAATATTACAAAAACATTCCAATACATTTGCCCTCTTTGTTTTACACTCTTTGTACAAATACCAAGTTTTGTCCTTTATTGATATTATTTTTAAAAAGTTAATATATTTTTGATTTTTTTTTAAATATATTACTTTGATTGATATTAAACCCCAAAAGTTGCCTTTAATGCTAAAAATCCTTAAAAAAAAGAATAGATGTATTCTTCTTTTTTCTTTGGGATTTTTATCATTCAGTCCACCCCTAGGTGAAACTACTAATAGAATAGGGGTGAAATCCTACCCGTGGATTGATGTCAAATTCACGGGTAGAATGTGGTTTATAGGGGGGGCTATTAATAGACTACGAGGGGATTGAAAATTTAATTTCTGTCGTGGTTTTTTCTTATATCTATGTCGAGTTCGTATTATTCGAATTAGAAATATGCAAGAAACTGTTGTAATCGTCATCCGAGAAAATGAAAGCGAAAAATCGACGAGTTAAACACAGATTACTGAAGCGACTGGACAAGAGAGCCAATTGAGTCTAAAATTCTAATTCTTTTAGTGTGCCGTAGCCCGTGGACGTAGAGGGAAAAGGTTGGAGTGGGAAGAGAGCGCAACGGAGAAGAAGAGCGAGCAATAGTCACCACCAACTTCGCACGTTTTAAGTATGCATACGTTTCCGGGGCGCGTGGCACGCTCTTTCGCTGCGCGAACGTTGCCCTGACTGAGAGTGCTTGCACTGAAGCCGAACTCATTTTGGACTTGGAGTCTTTCATCCAATAGTTTTTTAATTCGACTTTAATAAGTAATCCGAGTTCTATAAAAACTCGTCGTTGGCTCGATAAGCGAGTCGGATTCCGAGTTAGGGGACCGAGTTATTCTTAATCAGAGAGACTGAGAGAGAAGCTAAGAGCAGAGAGAGTGACTGAGAGATATCGCATCATGGTTAGACCGGCGCCAAATCCAGACGATCCTCCGGTTGCTCCTACGAAATTGAAGCAAATTTTGAATGTTTCCGTCGTCTTTTTTGCTGCATACTTCTACCTGATCTTCTATCATTATCAAATCGACCAGGAACTGAAGAAATCCATCTTCATCAACTCTGTTATGAGTTTCGCGGGGTTCATTGTCACCCTTTTTCTCATTTCTGTAGGCTCCAGGTACGTGCTGAGGCGCAATCTCTTCGGCTACGACATCAATAAGAAAGGCACTCCTCAAGGTTCAATTAAAGTGTAAGTTCTCCAACTGTTCTTTTGATTTATGAAGTGTGTAGGTTGTTCTTTTTTTATTGTGTTGTCTTTTCCCCCTTCAAATTGTTTTAGTTGAAATAACTAAATGGTTCAGTGTTGCTCTACTGGATCCGTAATTGTTGAAAGGATCATGTTAGTTGCTTTGACTTAGTGATGCACCATACTTGAGATTCATATTCTAACCGGTACCAATGGAAAAATTAGCGATACTGATGAAAAATGAGGACTGGTTGTAGAAAGTTGGGGAAGTTTTGGTAATGTGCATTGGAGTTGTGGAATCTGTTGTAAATTGAAAAGAAAAACTTCACATTGGAGTACAAGCCCTTTGGATATAGTCAATTTTTGCAGCCAGGCCATGGGGGTTTGTCTTAGAAAATCTTATTTAGTCTATTGAATTCTCAACATCACTTGGGTTTTACACTCCCCAAGCTGTTTCCAACTTGGTCTACTTGAGATGAGTCTATTATTTAATGTTAAAACAAGTTTTTTGTTTTGTTTTTTTTTTGAGTGGGATTGAAGTTGGAAATGGAGTTTGTAATGGGAGATTTGAACCTTTATGTTGAGTCTATAAACGGAGTAGTTCAAATTGGAACTTTATTGTTGAATAAAAGTTTCGTTTAGTGAAATTTGGTTGTATCCAAGCATACATATTTATCTCTCCACATGGCAGCACCTGCAAGCTATGAGACTGGGGAAATAGGAATGGCATGGGTGTGGAGACATAGAGTGACAATTGGTGTGGCAGATTCCCTAGCTAAGTGTGTGTGTGTGGGGGGGGGGGTTAATAGAGAACAACTGTATTTGGAATTTATAATTTAGATGTTTTTGGAGAAATTTGGGGGTTAGGTTGCTGTGGTTAAACTAACAGGATATGTTTTCCTTCAGTTTGAAAGCTATAAGCTTGGTGAAGTCCTCCTTTATCTTCAAGTTCATGATGCCCTTCCACATGCTGGAATCACTTGTTCTATGTTCCAGATGGGGTCTCTCAAGCCATTTTTGATTGGGCACTTTTTACTTCTGTTCACCTGTTTCCATAGCTCATCCTTATCTTCCCCATAATGTCATAGAGACTTACCTGACAAGGTCCTTTTCATAAGGTGGAATGGCTGTAGACCTAATCTACCTCTGTTCTTGACAGTACACATTTGAGACCATGCAACGAGGTGGTACTTCTAATCATTTGATCTGTCCTATAAGAAGTCCTGTTTCATTTTATTTCCAAATGCTGAAGCCATATTAGAGAAGGATAAGTAGTAATTCATCAAAAAAAAAAAGGATAAGTAGTAGACTGGGAAATTCGATAAAGTGCTTTTCACAAAGGTGACTTTACCTTGTTTGGACAAATGAGACTTCTTCCATCTTGCTAATTTGTGTCCACTGTGCTCAATGAATGGATTCCAGATTTCTTAAGTGTAGCTTGCACTGAGAGGTAAACCCTAGAATTTTATAAGTGTTTCTTTAAAGATATGCCTTATGACCATTGACAACCTTGTCAGTAGGGGTGAGATGGACTGCTTTTTATTGGTGCTCCAAGTTACAAGGCATAAGGGCTGTATTTTGTATTTAAAGTAATGCTTCATTGTCTGTATAGGTTTCCATGTTACTTTAGAGTTCTTGGTTACCCTTTACCCTTTATCCTGGAATACATTCATTCTTGGTTAACAGTCTATACATGCACACACTAACATATCATAAATTCACAATGGTATCATTTATGTCTTGTTTTTCTGTAGGTCAATCATATATTTGAATTGTTTATGAGATAAACTTTTACAACATACTATAATTTAACTGATAATTTCTGTTGGATCCATTTGCATGGGTGTGGAGAAATATACTTAAAGTACTTACTGTGTTGATTTTTTCAGTGCTTGTCTGTATGCATACGCATTTGACTATGGGGGGTTGAAGTAGATAAATTCAACTTATAAGATTGTTTCGGAGTAAATTGCTAAATTCCATTAACAACTGAAGAACCTTGGTAGTTGCTATTGCTTTCAAATATCCACTTTGTCCTGGCCTCTTTATGTTACACTACCCATTAGTTCTTGTTAGTCTATTCTCAACCCAATAAGGTCCTTATGGATATGGCCTTTGATAGAGTGAAACAGCAAAACAGGATCCATGTGGCTCATCCCAATTGGGATAATGCTTTGTTAAGTTGAGGTGATTAATTTCTTATTTGTTTTTTAAACAATCAAGCTTTTTGAATGATTATATTTATGTAATTCTGCAGGCCTGAATCATTGGGCATTGTTGTTGGGATTGTGTACTTGGTCTTGGCAATATTGTTTCAGTATTTTAACTTCACCTCAGATTCCAWTGTGAGTAAGAAATGTTTATTCTTGTTTTATATTTTAAAAGTTGGTTTCTCATGGTTTATTTTGATGGCATGGTTCAACTTAAATTTTCATGAACTTTCAACCATAAATTGTTTGACTATGGGAAGGGCCATGGTTCAAGAGTGAGATTTAATGTAATTAGATTCTTGAATGAAATAAACAATACTAATCAGAACCTCACAACAAGCATGATAAGGATTAATCAATTCCTAAATTGTTTTGATCTCAGAGAGTTGCCCTTAATACAAGCAATAATTCACTTGGACAAATTTTTAGGCAAAGCCTATTTGTTCTAAATTGGATGGGTTCTTGTTTTCAGTGGATTGGGAAGAACACTGGGAAGACCTCACATGTAAGATCTTATCTTAGCCTGCATCAGATCATTGCCCTTTGCTACCTACACAATGGCCCTATTCCCTTTTGCTTTGAAAATATGTGGTTGGATCACCTACATCTTATGAAAAGGTCAAGATATGGTAGATGGGCGGTAGGAAGTAGGATGGGCTGGGTGCTAATTTTGTGAAAAGGTAGAACTACTAAAAGGAAGGATCAAAATAAGAAGGGGCCTTCATCATTCAAAACATCCTGATGTCATTGGCTTGCTACATCTTTTGGAAGGGGTTTTCTTGGATCCTTCTAAGATTGATAGGTGTATTGGACTCCTAATCCGTTAGGTTCCTTCTCTAGTGTTTCTCTTTTCAGGGTCTTTACCCACTTCCCCTTCGCAGCCTTTTAATGTGAAAGTGGTTTGGAGCAATCCTATCCCTCCTTGAATTCGAGATTTTTGTTGGGAGGTTTTCTATGAGGAATTTAACACTCTTAATGTTCTTTGTAAAAGAAGGCCTAATTGGTGCTTTCTTTGTAATTCTTGCGATGAAGCATGCTATCACTTACTAATCTCCTGCCCATTTGTTACTTGTATTTGGGAATGCTTTTGCTCTTTATTTGGATGTAGGTTGACTCCTTCATCAGGTATGACCAACTTATTTTCTTCATCAACATTCATTTAAAAAGGGGAAGAATTATGTGGAGATTCACTAGGGCAACACTCATTTGGACAATTTGGGAGGAGTGGAATGCAAGAATTTTCAAGGGGTAGGGGAAGTAAGGAGGCAATAATTGAATGTGCATAGTGGGAATAAATAAAGAGAGAGATGAGGTAGAAAACCTTACTAAGTTGTTGGGTTGTGAGGTGGGGGACTGGTTGATGTTGTACTTGGGAGTTGGGACTACCTTTGGGGGGGGGACCCAAACTTTGATAGCTTTTGGTAATAGTGGAAAGATTCACAAAGAGGCTGGCAGGGTGGAAAAGAAATTACATCTCTTTAGGGGGAAGAATAACATTAATAAAGTCAACTTTGACCAATTTGCCAGTCTACTACTTATCTACATTCAAGATCCCCACCGAAGTGGCCAATCAACTAGAGAAATTAGTAAGGAACTTCTTGTGATAGCCAGGGGATACAAAGAAAGATAATTTGGTGAAGTAGGAGGTGTTGTCTAGAAGTAGGGATAGTGGGGCTTCTAGGGATAGGAAATATTAAACTAAGGAATGTAGCACCATGGGAAAATGGCTATGGAGATTCCTCCTAGAACAAGATAATTTGTGGCATAAAGTGATTGTGAGTATTCATGGCATGGTAGGCAATGGGTGGGATGCTAGTCTTGATCCTAGGGCATCTCGTTCTTCTCCCTGGAAAGCGATCCATGGTTTATTGCCTTCCTTTCTTCCATATATCAGGTATGATGCTTGTGCAGGCAATAAAGTGCATTTATGGGAAGATGTTTGGTTTGGGGATACCTCTCTTAAAGATAGATTTGTCTATCTATTTCCTTTCCCTAAGGTTGCGTTTGGTTGCAATGCAAATGCAAATATGTACACTACATATTTACCCATTTTTCGGTTCATGAATGCAAATACGGTTCACATTTTAAACCGTTTTTGCATTCATCCTGTTTGTTTGAAATCGATGCAAAGGTGTGGGCCCATCATTAACTTCTCCAACTATCTTATGCTCCAATGCCTCAACTTTGGTCAAAAAATTAATTATCAAATGAATACAAATTTGTATCCAAAAAATAGGTACAGTAATGCTCTCTTTTTAGAGTACAAAAGTGTCAGAAAATGCAATTTTACTTTGATAATCATTACTTTTTTACGTTTCAAACAAACGCTTGCAAACGCGAACCGGGGTGCATAAATACCCTGGTTCGGCGTTTGTATCGTAAACAAACACAACCTAAACAAAGGGAGAGTAATTTTTTTTTTTTTTTTTTTTTTTTTCTGGAAATGAAAATTCTTGGGACTTGGGACTAAGGAGAGGGTTAAGGGAGTTTGAAATGGGCTGGTAGATGAACTCATTTCCCTTCTCAATGCAATGTTCCTGGATCAATCTTGTTTACAACAGAATTGGTTGCTGTCCTCCTCTGGCTATTTTATTTATGCTTCCTTCTTCATTGCCCTCCTTCAGTCTTCTAACATGGCAGGTTCCTTTCCCACAAAGGAAATTTGGTGTAATCCTGAACCCCCAAAGATAAGGGCTTTTTGTTGGGAGGTGGTGCTCCAGAAAATCAACACTTGGGATAAGCTACAAAAAAGAATGCCAAATTGCTGACTTTCCCCTCATGTTTGTTGTCTTTGTTTGGGCTGTTGTGAGACAATTGCACATCTATTATTTATCTTATCCTTTTGCCTCTTTTGTTTGGAATTGGTTTTCTTCTTTCTTTCGTTGCAAGTGGACCCCTCCTTCTGATGTGGAGAGCCACGAGAGCTGCCATCCTTTGGTCATTATGGGAAGAGAGGAATAACAGAATTTTCCAAGGGATAGAGACATCCAAGGAACAAGTCATTGAATGCATGCTTATTAAAGTCATACATTGGCTGAAATTAACTGAATTATTCAAAGATTATTCAGTTGAGGACATTCTTAGAGGATGGTCGATAGTGGCAAAATCTTCAATAACAAAGAATGTGGTTCTGGATCAATGGTTACCTGCAGCACATCAAAGGATAAAATTGAACTTTGATGGATGTTCTTTGGGCAACCTGGGATCCTCGGGAGTTGGGGGAGTATTCAGAGATGGGGAGGACAGGCTGGTAGCACTTTACTCTGGCCCAATAGGTTTTGGAGATTCATAAAGAGCTGAATTACTTTAAGATTGGGGCTAGCCAAGCATGGGGGTTTCAAAGCTATGAGGTGGAGGCTCTAAGCTGTTAATATGATGGCTGCAGACAAAATGTCTGGGGGTCTGGACTTTTAGACAGCAGATGAGGGAAGCTGGAGTACAATTTAATTGGACAAGGAGGTCAGCCAATGGTGTGGCTGATACTTTGGCAAAGCAGGGGACTCAACGGGAGAATCTTGTTTGTGCTGTGTTGTAAATCTCGAGATAAAATATGGGGTAAACACTCATGCTGTGAGTGGTTGGCATTGTATGTTCCTTTTGTTTGTTTAATGAAGTTACCTTTTCCAATAAAAAATTATTGAATGTATCCTGGTTAAGGTAGCCTATTGGATAAAGTCATTGGATGTCTTTTCATCCTTCTCAACAGATGACATTATTTATTTATTTTGAAGAAGGTAATGTATTATACAAAACAAAAGAAAGGAACTTCCCACAGCAATGAGCTGCATATACAACAGCTTTACAAAAAAAAAAAAAAGAAAGAAAAAGACAATCCTGAACCAAAAAATGATCGTAACTAAAAAAAGCTGGACACCATTAGAGAGGGGCTTTTTTTTTTTTTTGATCAATAACACTTTCATTAACTCATCAATAGAAGATTTACAATAGGAAGACAAACACGCTTATCTTCCAAGAGCAACAAAGAACCTCAAGAAAAGGAAAAAAAGAAAGAAAACACACTATAGTTACAGCTTAGCCCAAAGCAGTGAATCCCTTTCTGCCCCTTGTTTAGCTAAACCGTAAGCTAGGGAATTAACCGATCTTTTAACCCAACGTATTTTAACTTCCATCCCCCGCACCAGCCACTTGAATTTCCTCCTCTCATTATTGTACTTCCATAAGCCACTGTGATCTTTAATTAGCCACCCTATTACCACCTCTGAATCCCCTTCAATTAAGAGTTTCCTGATGTTCAACTCCTTAGCTTTCTGGACTCCTTCCATAACTGCAAAGATCTCAGCTCTAAGGGAGTCACCCACTCCAATTGGGCCTGAGAACATGGCAGAAATGACCCCATTTTCATCCCTAAAAACACTCCCAATCCCCGATTGTCCCGGATTTCCCCTGTTACACCCATCAAAGTTTAGTTTCACAAATCCACCAAGTGGAGGGGTCCAAGCCACACTCATTACTGACTTGGTCTATGTGCAATTTGCAATTTCACCCCACTTCCTCAACATGTCATCCACAGTGTAATCTGTGAAAAGCTTCAAAGATTTCAGCCACTGTACTGCCCTAATATGAATGATAGCCCTCAGATCTGCTACTCCTCTCTGAGCTTCTAAGAATATCCTGGAGTTTCTTTCTTCCCAAAGTGTCCAACATACTGCAGCCCTTAGTCCTCTCCACATTGTCTTTCCCCTTTTTATCCGCCACCTGAAAAAAGAAGGGGAAAAAAGGCCCTGCAAGTCTGATGGAGGATTCCAGCTACATCCAAAAAAGGACAAAGCCCATTCCCAAATTGACTTCACAAAATTGCAAGACACCAGTAAGTGAAAACCAGTCTCCCCATCCGCATTACAAAGAACACACCACTGAGGTGACAAACAAGTATTGGGTCTCTTCTTTTGGAGTAGATCACYRGTGTTRATTCTTTCYAGATAGGCTTCCCAACAAAAACTACCAACCCTAGGAGGTATTGCTTTGCACCAAACCTCATCAACAGGAAAAGGGGGAAAGGTAGGACTGATGGACTAACTTAAGACTTTGAAGAAATAAGCACAAGAAAAGATGCCGTTGGGGGTAGGTGTCCAAATTCTAGAATCCGCCCTAATGGGGTCTAAGACAACGTTATC